GGAAGAAATGCTGCATCGTATAGACTTAAGGTATTTGCTCATCTTTAATCAACGTGTTTTTATGATAAGTCGATAACGGAAAGAACTTTCGGAACGAACTAATACTTGAGACACTGCCTCCACCGCCAAGGCAGCATCCACCTAAAAATTTGCCTTACATGTTTTTGTCATTCTGAAGTCTTTTCGTTGCCCTGCTGCAGTTATGAAGTTTGAAAAGTACAAAATCTCCCTAAAAAACCGATTTCTGGGAGCTCTACCTCGAAGACCCATGATTGGCTTTGGCTTTCAGTACATAAGTGAGTGGACTTGATAGGATATGGCGTGGTTTGACAGCACTTTTGCTGTTCTAGATCCATTTTCTCCATTTAGAGGCAACCTTAGAGGACCGCACCAACGCAGTTGCCCCTCTCTTGGAACCTTCATTTGGGGTCGACATTGATTGGAGGGGGTTAAAATTAGCCATTAGACACTTGTTTGAAGGAAAGTGTAAACCGCTCACTCGAAAACAATTCTTGCGCCTTTTAAAAAAATTCTCTCAGGCCGCTACTTGCTGAGTACTACGTCTATAGCACTGACGCCTAAGTTTTGAACAGTTTGGTGTTGTAACATCTATAGCATAAACGTCTAAGTTTTGAGCAGTTTGGAGGAGCAAATGTGTACACATAAATCAGTAATTCAGTGCACGCACTTTGATAATCAAACGTGAAATACTGACAGAATTCGAATATTGTGCAACTTTTCTACCACCATTTTTGCTCCTTTTTCGCTTGCAACTGTCAGAACTCTTTGTTTATTTGAAAATCATACCGTCGCACAGTGTTGTATTCCTTTCCAGTGATTAGGTTCACCTGGTGCCCATCCCGTGTAGTCGACCTCCGTGCCGTCAGTCCAGTACCAGTCATTTGGATGAGGTTCCATCAGGCCTATCCAAGTCAAATCATGCCAATCAGTCCATGTTTTACCCATCTTTGATAGCTCTAAACAAAAAATTGTGCATTGCAAACAAGTAACAAATGATAGATGTACCGGCTACAAAATCATTTTCGGATGAGCTGTGGATTGAAGCCAAATGTCCACCGTAACTCCTACATAAGGTTTCGGCATCAAACATGTTTTCCCAGAAGAAAGTCTGTAAGACTATTCACTGAGCAGTTAACATTCATACTGTTATTTTACTAAACGCTGTTAGTGTCTGCGTATAAGCATAATGTGTATAAGCTTCCGCACAATAGAAAGTACCTATTATTCGGATCTGGAGCTGCACTCTTTCCATTTGACGAAAGTACGAAATTTGTTAAGTGTTGCACAAAAATTATCCAAAAAGTCAGGTGCAGAGCAGAAACAAAAAGCGCATTTCATGTAAAAAGAAAA